GTAATACTGCTAAAACTCACTCGTCTCAAATTTTTTAAGTTTTTCAATTAAAGTTTCAAAAAGTAAAGCAGCGCATCAAAGAAAAAAAAATGTACAAGATAGATGTTGTGCAACAAGGAAATTACAGACTAAAAAACAGGAAAATTTAAATTTAAAATCTACACTGCTTTCTTTCTTTTGTTTTACTTTGGTAATTTTCAAAAAAGAGACAACATCAGACTTCCTGTTACAAGGAAGGAACACAAATAACTAATGTTACAACAAGACGAACAGCTAAAACAACAATGACCGGAACAATAGCGGCAGCACATCAAAAGCCACAGTGCTCGCTCAACTAAAACTTTCCAGCCAGCCAGCCAGTCCATTTATTCGCGATGATAAAGAATTATCCTAGCAAATGACATTTTTAACACCTGCGCAAATGCCTGTCATTTGTGCACTTTTGCAAAATTCCAATTATTAATCAAAAAGCTGTTTTAAAAAAATAAATAAAACCTCGCACACAATAAAGTATAAAAGACTGAGAAAAAATGACAAAAAAACATATCAAAAGAAACCTTAAAAATAAATTATTAACCAAACGCTACTCATTAGTTCAACTTCTTCCTCTTTTTCTCTTGAAAAAAGAACAATAAATTTATGATTATTTTTCAATGTCCGTTATTATCATTCAACTTTAGCGTTAATACGTAAAACCCAAAAACTTTTATGGGACGATTTTCATCACCTAGTATAGCAAAAAATAGTAGCGAAGGAGAACGAGAACGACAGCTTATAAAAGCAGAAAAAGAAGGAGCATCTCTTAAAGACAAAGTAGATAAAATTTCTTACTGGAGACCCATATTCCAATTTCATATTTTTACTGCAACAATAAAAAAGTAAAATCCGGCTTAAGTTGCTGTGCACCACTCACCGAACAGAGTCCTAAAGAAATACCAGTATTTTAAGCAGGATATAACCCCTCTTATCAGTGGTAAACACGAAAGAGGAAGAGAATGAAAGAAGTAGAGTAAGTGAAATGTATCAGTACGTGCTTAAAACCATTATTATTATCACTGCAACTGTTATTATTATTATTATTATTATTATTATTATTATTATATTATTTATATTATTGTTATTATTATTATTATTATTATTATTATTATTATTATTGTTATTGTTATTAGTATTGTTATTATTATTATTATTATTATTATTATTATTATTCATTATTATCATTGTTATTATTAATATTATTATTAATATTACTATTATTAGTCATTCTTATTATTGATTATTAATTGCTAGTTATAAATTATCAACATTGTTGTTACTGTTATTAATATTATTATTGCTACTGCTATTAATATTAATACTAATTTTGGTGTTAAAATTAATATTATTATTTATTATCGTTATTCTTATTAATAATAATAATAAATGATAAGTAATAAATAATAGTAATAGAGTGATAATAATGATAGATAACAATAGTAGTAGTAAAAGTGAGAGTAATATAGTAATAGTAATATTAATAGCAATAGTAGTAATAGTGAAAAAAGTAATAGTAAAAAGTAATAATAATAATAATAATATCATTATTATTATTATTGTTTATTATTATTATTATTATTATTA